AGCGAGAGAAAGAGAGAGACACATCTAAATCTCTTAGATTCATAAACATAAAGAAGTTGGTTTTCAATGATGTGAACATCAACCACACATCTTAAACGCGTAAGGATACTATGAAAACAACGCTATAATGTAATTTTATAAGTTTTTTCAGCCTAAAAATGTTCAGTTTTTAATATAATTCACAACCATATTATTCCAACATGATTTCAACAAAATATCAATTGTTTATCAACAAATTTTCAACACATGAGCGAGATTTTCAACAGAAAATCAACCGTTGTTAAACTGTTTGTATACAGTTTAAAACAACTATATCAACACAAACAACATGATCAATGTTTGTCCAAAAAAGATTGATTGGCTTCCTATATATATATATATGAACCCCTCCCTCAAACAGGTTATAAACTGTTTGCAATCTATTGTTATACGCTAATGTATGTGATAAACTCGCTTTCAATTACACCACTTTTTTTCTGTTGCAGTGATGCTTCCATTGATTACCTTGCTAATAGACCTCTTCCTAGTGGTTTTGATTCGACGACTGACTGCTTTGGTACAAGTGATTATTACCGAGCTACAACTCCCCCCCCAACCGATACAAATGTTACTAGGAAACTAAATGTCATCTAACTGCCCAGTGGGCAGAGCGTTGTCGAGCGCATCGGTCCGGCACCGCACAAGGCAGCGTGGGACCCTCCCGGCCGCGTCACGCAGGAGTTGGTCTAAATCCTCGTCACGAAAACACATGGAGCTTCCGCAAGCCGCTCCGGCCGAGTGCGTCAGCCATACCTTTCGCGAGCCCCTACAACAGGATAGGCCTACTCGAGGCACGACTTACCTCCACCTTACGGGAGCTGTCACCTCCCTTCAGTGGGCGTATCCCCGTTGAGCTACGAGTCCACAGTATGAAAGCTAATCAGCTGCAATCGAAGAGGTGGACCAGCCGAGCGCATTTCTCGTTCGCTGTAGCATAGGGGGTACGCGCGGTAATACGCCTCTATCGAACCCGCACGCGAACCGACGTCTTGGGGGGTAGAGGTTCCAAGCGCGACTCGTCTTCGGTCGACTAGGACGCATCCCACACACCACGAGCACACCACTATAAAGAACATAAAAATAAAACATACACACGCGCAGACATATACCAAACGACAGAGGACAAAACAACGCGATAACACTTCTAGTCCCTTAGTAGCCATCCCATAACTCTCCGATGTGCAAATTAGACAGGCGTCGCGCGCGAGACTTGGTATAAAACCGCGCGAAAACAGGGCTAACTCATATCGACTCGCAATGCAAGCGTACGCAAGCGGTCTCAATGATGGCGTACTATATAGTACCCATACTCATGCGGTTCTCGTTGATCTTGAGGGTCGCACTCGACACTCAAGTGTCGGCTGACACGCGCCTTGAGGGACTGATCTCTCGATGCTGGACAACCGCCAAGTGCGGTTGAAAACCACACCCTCTTCGGCACCCTGCGGAGAGTGGGTGGTACACAAGTTCATACTTGTGGTGGCAATCGTTTCTTATGGCCCTGGAGACCAACTCTATCATCCAGGGTCTGAAAATAAGTCAAGGGGTTTGGACTACAACGTCCAACTATAAAAATTGACAAGCAAAACCAATCAATAAACAAACATCCCAACTCTAATATATCAAATCAGATATTGAGATAAAATAAGCGGAGGGGAATCATAAACCCATCAGGTATGCAGATCGTACGACACATGGTTGTCATTCTCACTGCCTCCAAGGTATGACCCATATACCAAACTCCAAAATACTAACCTGCATAAAACACAGGCACACACAATAGCCACATTGCCATACACCAATGTGGTCAACTTTACTGTTCCTTGTAACTCACACCACGCCTCACACCTTCAAGCCTCAGTCGTAGTTCAACTCTCCGTAAATCTCACAAGTTCTTTATAATGGTCATTTAAAAGAGATCTGGTTAAAACCCTCAAAGAAACACGTCAAATCTCAGGGCTAAGGCGATCAAGTTGAGGTACAGGTATAAGCAAAGTTGTGTCGTGAGCCGACAAGTCGGCGATCAACCAACCGACCTGTTATCAGTGATAACAGAAGATGATCCTCGTAGGATCAAGCTAGAACTAGTCTCAATCCTGGATCGAATGTCCAAAAAAGGCCTGTGTCATAAGACAGGTCAACGTCCGGGCTAAGTCGTCAATGTATGGAGGTTAAATCCCCATGACACGTTCTCACTCAAGACTCTCCTGACAGCCAAGTCTAGGTCTAAGTCAATACCCAAAGAAAGGTAGACCTATGGCAGAATCTCCCCCATACAGAGTGGACCGTCAGAGTCGCCACCTTTCAAAATATACTCTATCTCCTCTAAACCAAGAAAATTTCGGCAGCGCTTCCCGTAGGAAAAGTGTCTTCGCATAATTTATAATAGCCCAAATATGAAAGCAAAAATAATCCCTAACTCCGGGAAGTCAAAATTTGTTTAACTCCCTGAATTAGTAAAAATTTCGGCAGCACTTCCTTTAGAAAATTATACTTCCCAGATTTGTACAAAGTTAAATATGAACTCAGAATCAAGACATGAGTTTAACTAAGACAAAATTTAGCAAACTCCTCAGATTTGTCAAAATTTCGGCAGCGCTTCCCGTAGAGAAAGTGTTATTCCAAGATTTATACAAAGCTAAATTCATACTCTAAAATGACTTTTGACCTTTCAAGGTCCAATTTTGTCTAACTCCCTGAGTTAGTGAAAATTTGGGCAGCACTCGCTTTAGAAAGGGAGACTTCCCATATTTTTATTAAGTCATAAAAGTCAGACAAGTTGAACTTTGAAAGACAAAATCTGACTAACTTCTTGGTTTTGTAAAAATTTTGGCAGCGCTTCCCGTAGAGAAAGTGGCTTACCAAAATTTATACCAGACCAAGTATGATAAATGATCCCAGAAAATACAAAAATCGACCTAAGTAAAAGTAAACTTAGCCCAGAAAATGCAGGAATTGAAACCAACTGCTATGACTCTAGCACGTGGCGAGCAACTAAGCAACTACCTATCAACTAAAACTCAAACTAAGTAGTAATCTCACTCAGCCACATGCAAGCTAAACCACAAAGAGTAGGTACTCTCACCATCCCCAAGTCAAAATCCTCATAGATAGTTCATGAATCCTTCAGATGATTTAACCCTTATACCCGACTTACATATGGCACAAGTGCTAGACCATTCGGCTTGGAAACAATGTCCAGCGTACCTTAGGATATACACGAACAGGTTGCACTACTACTTTTCTCTTCTTTGGACATTTGGACTGTTTAATATCCAAAATTAAATAACTTTCTAACTTTGTTTTCAAAAGAAATGAAAATATGGGCAGGGGACTGAACCATTCGGCTTGGAAACAATGTTCAGCTTGCCCAGATTACTTCCAATTATACTCTGTATTTTTCATTTTCTTCTTAATGATATGGCTTAGCGTTGGACCATTCGGCTTGGAAACAATGTTCAGCTGTCAGTTCACATGCAAATATAAGTAAAATACTTTCTTTTATACTCAGTTTATACTTATGTGCATGGTTTTCAGGCTAAATCATTCAGCTTAGAAACAATGCTCAGCCTTAGACCAAAATCCTTCCTTAGAGTAAACAAGAACTTAAACCCTTCCAATCACGCAAACCCTCATCAATTAAACACAGCAACCAAGCCATTCAACTTAGAAACAATGCCTGGTCCTTCATAAAACAACCAAATAAACATAGCCCTGAGCCATTCAACTTAGAAACAATGCCTAGTCCTTGATTGACCCTGTCAAACGCATGCAACCTGCTTTCCTCCCACCTTCCCCCAGTTCATCCCTGAGTCTGCTTTCGGTCAAAATAAAGATGAAACTTAAACTTCACTCTCACACACTCTTTCCATTGAATCTGATTAGGTCCTGAAAGAAAGCAAAGTCATAGGGGCAATCTCATGCATACATCAGTCAAACCAAAAGGAGATAGGCAAACATGGATATAGTGGGGTCATACAGGCAGTAAATGAGATACCTGATGGTTCCCTGCCTCCAGAACCTCTCCTAGGTTCCGGCAAAGCTCCCGCAATCAGTGGCTTGACTCCCCACAGAGTCTTGCAGCGGTCCTACTGGTTGCAATCCTGCCTGCCGCCTTCCTCTCGTCACCAGGATTAGAGTGAGATTAAAAAGGGCAAAATGAGGGGTTTCAGACTCTCGAGATATAGGGGAGGGACTGACTCAACTCGCAGGAGAGGGCCTTGTTATCTTCATGCGCCTAAGGGCCCCGCAATGATGGTCAAAATGCACAGCATAGCCTTACCAGCTGAAGTCAAACGACAGACCAGTCGAACCCTGACAGTCTTCCAAGTTGTAACAACGCCCCCCCTATTCGGAACCAGATCACTCCCCAAAGCTGCAGCGTCATCATTTCTGTTCAAATTGCTGCTACGTGGTCTACGATGGTCGCGTTCGGGTAGACCACGCCTCCGCCTCAACAACAACCAACTCTAAACTCAAACCCACTTTACAGTCATTCTTCCTCCGGTCAACAACACTCACACCCAAGCATAACTTCAATCAGCACCTTCAATTATCTTCACCACAGCAGCGGCGTGTTGGACAACCCGACGACACTCAACCGCCCATCAGCAACATTCTGTCAGGCTCACGGACTGCCACAGTAGCATCGACTGTGTTTCATGAGGAAGACTGCATTTGGCAGCTCTGCAGCTCAGCAAACTTGCAGTCCATCCTGCTTGTCTAGCTTGCAAGGTACGTTTTCTCTCCGCTAGCAAGTTCTAGCAGCAAAATGTGAGCCGACGACACAATGCTTCACACCCCGCTGCATCCGTTCACTCAATTGGTTGCACATAGCTTTCTCCCGCTCGATCGGCTGTGGACAGCCTGCTCTCTCTCTCTCTCTCTCTCTCTCTCTCTCTCTCTCTCTCTCTCTCTCTCTCTCTCTCTCTCTCTCTTTGCGTCTGTTGCCGACCCCCCTTCCCCTTCATATTTACCACGTACCCTCCTCTTACCTACAGGCCGAGCGCTACGACGATGAATGCCCTGTAGAGAAGCACTCGATCAACGAACAGTGCGAGGGGGAGCACTACGTCGAGGATCACCTTAACGTCGGGTAGCACGAGTATGCGGAGGAGGACGACCAACAAAATGATGACGACACCCACGTTGGTGGGATAGCCGACCGCCATCTTCCCTTGTTACCACTGACGAGTAACACAGCCCGTCGTACCGCCTCCTAGAGTGTCACAAATGAGAATGAATCTCCCGCTAGAAAGCGACCAGATTCATGTTATCCAACAACGCGCGCAGAGTATTAAAGATTGGCTTCTCCTATTGATAGGATGAGCAACGCACCTGTCAACAGGTAAGTTCCCCGCCCCACGACTAAGCTCGCTCCACCTTTATCGTTCGACTTAGTATGATCCAAATGAATTTATCGCTGTAATGCAGGTAGGTTCATCCCTTTTTCATAACACCTCTCTCGTGCGCCTACCCATAGCGCTCGATTTCGCTCAGAAACGAGCGAGATACTTAGCTTTTACTTCCGGCCATACCCATTTCTGAAAACCTCCACGCGACTCCTTTTTCCTACTAACGCTACCTATATTAACTCTCAAGCTACTCTAACTTCAGATCCGCGGTCGCCCTCCCTGAAAACCCCCGGATCGACTCCTTTTTCACCCGATTTCATCCCTTATTGGCAGCGTCATACATTCTTCCTCTTTCTTCTTCCGTTCCCTGCATAGCTCCGCGCAACCACTTTTCCTCACACCGATGAACTTCCTAACTTTCTGCCTAATCTAACCACGGATTCGTGGTCGCCCTAATCCAAAACCTCATTCTACCATCCTCCCTTGTC